TTCCGGACCAATACGACCTGGGGACCTTCAAGAAAAGAGCGTACTCCTTTCTAAAGGGCCGGCAACGCCCTGCAATTACCCTAGTGTTGCGGTTGATCATGGGCGGCGGTAGTCACTTAACATCAGGTGAGCCGCATGCTCGTTTGCCCCCTCTTCTATAAAAAAATGTGTTCAATATTGAATTTTGTGTATAATAATGAACTGCCTCGTTGGTCTAGTGGTTGTAGTAGTGCGAGTACTGATAATGAGGTCCCGGATTCAAATCCCGGGTCGGGCAAATAAAATCCAGTTATTGAGTTTTTCCGTTAAAAATATTTCAGTAGCTGTCCGGAGTCAGGAAGATGGTGTTGTCTCGCCTCCGTGCCTCTGAAAGCACGTGGTCCCGTTGGTCCTGCGCCTGATGTCTCTCCGGTCGTATCGGTTTACCGTCTCATCGGACCACAGCATCTGTATTGCCGCAAGTTTAAACTGGGGACAGATCACAAGCCTTTGTTAAGCATTTTTTAAACCGGCTCACAGTATTCCTAAAATGATTGCTATTAGTTTGCAGCGATATGTATTAATAGTGTAGTCATATAATTTTACGATTGAATTTATAATTACTGATCGCAATACGATCGATAGATTTTTCTCATATGATAAAAAATATAGAGGAACTGACTTTTCCGAACAATGTGATGTGCCGGAGTAAACATATTTGCATTTAGCATCGAAAGCATTGCTTTGAATTTATAATTAACTTAAATAGGAAGCCGTACACGAACCTATTTTAAGCAGAGTAATTAGTTATACTTATATAAAAGACGGCTGGACGTCTGAAGTAGATATTAAGGAATAAAACAAAAACAGAAACAAAAACAACAAACTTTATTCGGAACTAGGTTGTATCAGGGGTCAAAGAGTAGTAATTTCTAGGGCCTGTATGGCTAAATTTTTAAAGTTACAACGAAAAGTTTAATACGTAGCTATGCATTGTGGCCGGGTATAGATAGAAGAAATAGAAAAGTTATGTAGTTCGTGTCGAGTGTGTGTATTGTAATTCCCATTCTAATTTTAACTTGTCCTGTTGCGTAATATGTATTCTGATCGTAAGCGACACAGCTTTCCCGTTCGAAAGCAGAAGCGATACTGAGCGGCAGGGAATCGGGCTTCAGGATGCCGATAGTTTAGGTAATTTCTTTTTACGGTGAAAATAATGGTAATTTAAAAGAAAACTAAAAAACTTAAGCCCTGCTTTATAGTTAGTTCAATTAGTATGCAAAGTTTCATAATCTAATTTAAAGTATTTTGTGAATACCAGCGGTTTATTTTTCGGTTTAGAGGTAACTTTGGATTTTTTCTATCAAGAAAATTTTACGGAATCGTGTTTTCTTGTAACATAGTACTTAAGATCAATCCTCAAATTTATCATTCACTCATTTCAAAATTAATGCTGCAATATTTTCGGCATAACGGAGGATATTGCTAGGCCATTTGAGGCAGTATTTTTACTATTTCCCCTTAACAGCCCGTGCACGCTATCCACCCGTGACCTTGGTAGGATTGGCCTTGGTATCGCTTACATATAGACTTTTACAGCCCAATCGCAGGGAGTATACATGATGGTCATATGAATTATTCATTTTAAGAAGTAATTGAAATGAATTCTACCAATTCCAAATCAGTGATTGTAGCTTTAAAAGAATAATGGTCTCGGTTTGGATTAAGAAAAAAATTAGTTTCAATTAAAGGCCTACCCTTCACGAGTTCAGAATTTAAGCAAGTTTTATCGACTAACGAAATGAAGCAATTGTATTCAGCGCTATTCACTGCATTTCAGTTATTCAGCGCCATGACTGCCTCGTTGGTCTTGTGGTTGTAGTAGTGCGACTGCTGATCATGAGGTCTTGGGTTTGAATCCCAGGTTGGGCCAACAAAATCAATTACTGAGTTTTTCCGTCAAGAAATTCTCAGTAGCTGTCCGAAGTCAGGAAGTTGGCGGTGTCTCACCCCCGTGCCTCGGACAGCACGTAAAGCCCTTGATCCTGCGCCTGTTCTCTCTCCGGTCGTGTCGGTTTACCGTCCCATCGGATTATGAGAATGAAGGAATAGAGAATGCACCTGTGCTTGCGCACACAATTGGGCACTATAATCCTGTCCAGGCAAATGCTCAGTCTGGAAAGGATTATATTTTTCATTCAGCGCCATATCATCGTTCATCCAACGTAGCAACTGATAATGCGGCTATAACCTGCAAAAACATTATTAAAAAAGGATATATCACAGAATCTAGACGCCGATGTTGCGCTCCTAAGACTTTTTTTGGTATATAGAAATACTAAACACGATACCACGGGAAAAAGTCTAGCAAGATTGTTACAGGGCCGTCCGTTACGTATGCGACTTTACTGCTTAAGCGAGCGAGCAGATCGCGTTTACATTACAAAGAAACGTCAGCAGTTAGCAGCAGAACTTTACACAAGTGGATACAGTTTGGTATCTTACGGCACGGGAAGGAAATGGTTGGATGTGAAAGTTCTGTATAAGTTGGGTTATACGGATTATGAAATTTTGGGTAACGACGGAACCGTAGAGCATAGACCTGCAGATCAATTAAAATATGCATTTGATGTTGCTTTGAATGACATACCCACACGTAGCGAGAAATGCAGATGCAGAAAGATATCCAGGCAGAGCAATAAACCAGACGAGGTTTCGGGACAGTTAACAGACTCGATGGAGGATGGTGTAGAGGATCAACTGTGTACGACGTCGCCAGGTATTAATAACACCATACAACTGCAAAGTTGCACACCCGAACTGACACGCACCTATCCATTAAGAAACAACCACCACTAACACGGTTTCCAGAGTTTAATTGATTGCTGTAATTAATAAATTATTTAGTTTATCTTGTTTTAATTATACTGCTATGTATGTTTTAATGTTAAGTTACACATGGTGCCTTATTGTTACTTTACGTATCATGTAATGTTATATCATAGGGAAGTAAGTAGGGCTTAAGAAAGACTTGTCATTTTGGTAAAATAAGGGGAAAATGTATATATATATATATATATATATATATATATATATATATATATATATATATTCACAAATAATATTGTTAAGCAAAAGCTCTTTTCAAACGATATAAAATGTTGAACAAATTGCTATTTACCTTAACAGCTTTTATCCTAATGGGGTTCAAAAGGCATTTGAATAGTTCCGGCCTGTCTAACTTTGAAAATATTTGTTGCTACTTCTAAGTAAGTAAAATCTTAGCAAAAAAGAAACCCAAAAAGTGAAATACGTTATATTGTGTATTTTATGCAAAAATAAAAATTTTCAACAAAGGGGTCAGTCCAAATAGAGTCCTTCTAGTTATTATTTAAATAATGAGGATGACTAACTAGCATAATGTCCACTTGATGGTAAGTAGATAGACGTCTACATCTATCCTCAATTTAGAATCATATCCAGATACGTTGTCACCTCTGAGGACTAAGATCCTAATGCCTCCTTTCAATGAAAAACTTCTCCGGTTCTCTACACTCATTTTACGCTGGTATTTTGTGAGAGCGTAATTCTTCTCCAGACGAGCCAAACTATTCACATTGCAACAATACTATAGTTGCAGAGTGACTCTACCACAAAATATTTCACTAATGCCACTGCTTAAGAAATTAGTAAAATATAAAAGCAAGGAGTTTCTTTTTAAAATCACCAGCGTAAACTAGCAGTTCAACGATACTATATTTCATGTCGTGAGTGTAGGAACTGGAAACTCTTTGTATTGGTAACGACGTGCACGCACGAGCGCATTCCATCTTCGTTCTCTGAAGCAACAACGTACCTAAAATTTGATTTTTAATCGAGGATAGATGTAGATGTTCGTAAGTTGCAACATCCCCTTATTATGTGATGAGGTATGTTCTTAAAATAAATATGGTCCAGTTATACCCCCAGCACCATGTGCACGCCAGAAACTCTTTCCGAAAGCAACGACCTTCCATGAACGTCTTGAGGATTTTTATTTGCCCAATTTCGACAAATTGGCTTGTTTACGAAGACTTCGAGCTTCATCGCTAAAGATTAATTTCTGCGAGCACTTTTAGTTCTTGTGTCAACTGAATTTCTTAGGGGTGTAGAATTTCGTGAGGCATCTTTTCACAAATTTGCCTTGTAGGCTTAGATAGGCCAACTTGATAGAATTAGTAGTGTAGAATTGAAAACTATTTACTCACACTTTCAGATACAAGGTTGATATTCTCGGTATTTCCCACATTTCAACGACGGATAGCAGGTGGACTTTATCACAGAGCCTCTTTAGAATGATTATATTGACCATAAGTTTTTAATTAGGCACGAAACGTTAGAAGAATCGAAATACCGTTTTGAGTGTGAAGTGTCTTTAATCATTTCAATTCGCTTTTCAATTGTCATTATCATCAAATAATAAATACCGAACATTTATTGATTCATTTGTCAAAAATTCGCCTTAATTGAAAATCTAACATGGCCACCATCGGCTGATGAGATATCTTGTAGAGATTTCGAAAAATATAGAACAAAAAATAATTTATCAAAACCACCCACACCTTCTTTATCTTTTTTTATTTTCCTTTATTTTATTTACAGTATTCTCCATTTTTGTTACAACAAAAATACACAAGCGTTTTCTGGTCCTCAAAACATTTTATAGGTGTTTTTCACTATTGCTTGCAGTATCTTTAAAAGCAATTTTATTTTTTATACTCATCCGAATCAAAACAGCTACCATAGTGGATTTTATTTCCGAGAGTAAAATGTCCGAAGAAGTTAAATATAGCGAATAATAATAATAATAATCCTCACCAGTTGGCTTGGTGTTGGCAGGGTCTTCGTGGGCCCAGCAATCGGCACCCGCCACTGGTGGAATGCGCCGCATGCATTGGATAATACAGTTGAATAGTAACGCATTGCGGGCGTATTTTAGAGCGAAAGGGGAAGAAATTGGAAGTTTTACCAATCGGGCTAGGATGCATCGACTTTTTGCTGAGCTGGACATCTATAACCGTCACCAAGCAAAACCTGGCAGACTGAGTTCGGTATATCTTGCGCTCGAATATATTTTTGATGTCTCCGAACTCGAACGGCTACGGCGTGAGCCTGATCCTTCATCTGATGAAAATGCTACGGCTAAGGATGCGGCACCACAACTTGCAGAGCAACCCACAAACGTGGATGCCGCCATGAATACCCCCAGTTGTGGTTGATTCAAACGACGACGGAACAGTCGCCCAGGAACAGAAACTAGAGCAAATGAGGAGTACATTGGAATAGAGGATTGTTGAAACGCGCAGTACGCCTCTCGGAAATCGACTGCGACTTCCCCGCATAGCCTTAAGCAAGCGGAATCGGGCTGTCGCGAGGGCTCTGAACCCAATGCTGGTGACCTATTTGGAAGCCAGGCGTGACTTTTACGATACGGACTCAATTATTTTTGGCACCGCATCGGTCTGCCGTATTATAGGCGCCAAACTTTAAAACTAAACTAAAAACAGGAGGTGTAAGTAAGTCTCTTCATCCTTATATAATTGTGCCAGTCTTTTGGAGAAAATTTCAAATCGTTTGATAATGTGAGAGTATGAATTTCTTTTAAGAAGCCAATCCTTACACCATTTTCTCTTCTTTTTGCGCAAAACAAGCCAGGCTAGCGCAAGCGCTTCATCGTCTTCCATCACGAATGACGTGTTTTTCTTCTGAGTTTCTGCTGAGAACTGACGATCGACGCAGATATAGTAGATATGTGGACGCACTACCGACGTTCGATAAACTACGCGAATAAACAGCGTTCGTTGCGTGAATGAAGTTCGTTTGCGCAGTTTTATCGTGTATACCCGGTTTAATGCAAGGCCACACTTGCCCGTCGTTTCCAGTAATCGAACAACACAAAAATTTCTTCCGCCGAATTTTTTACAATCAATCACGTGTTAGTGAATTTAATCTTAAGATGGTAAATATTTTAAAGACTATATTATATTATATTATTAACTTCGTACATCTTGTAAAATTTTAGTATTTGAGGAACCACATTTTTGTAACAAATTATTTTACTCGTTTTTGCTCATGCTACTCGCTTCTACTCATTTTACTCGTTTCTACTCTTATTGGTAGTCACTAATACGGATAGTACCCGGATAAAAATAAAACATTTTCTTAATACAAAATTTCAATGAAATCATTATGGCCTGTATGACCTTCTGCGAATACCGTTTGTGATTCTGAGTATCAGAAACGCAACTGTCGTCGACGCACTCCCAATCTTTACAACGTTGTTAATGAGAGACTTGTGGATTATAAATTATGGCCGCTTATTACACAATTGATCACTTGTAGTACTAAGATATATATTTGGTTACTTGTATGTTAGAGGTAAAATTTCGAAAGTAAAACACTAACAAGAGCTTTGGTAGTCATCGAGGCGACCGAATAATTTTTAAACCTCTTACGATTATGAGCTAAGATTGCTTTAGTTAGAAACTATATGAAATACCTTACTTTTGGCAACAGTTTTCTAATAAGAACAAAACGACACACAAAATGGTAATGTTAACACGATCTCATGCTAATCACCTTTTTTAGACATGTTTTTCACGATAGGTGTCTTCATTATCCGATTGTGGCGAAGTCTAATGGTAATGTTACTACTTTCGGTGTGTGTAAGTATGCTCGTATCTATATTTTTAATTCAGACAATCGACACTTTTTTCATAGATGAGAATGAAAAACGAGAACTTAATCCATCTTATGTTAAGTGTATATTTTGTGCAACAGACACTTTTATCTATCATCGATTAAAAATTAAATCAATACTCTATATCAAGTATCCAAATCGGTCTATCATTCTATTTACGAACTAAATATCCATGACATAATTGGACAAAAAGACAGACAGGCAGTAGTGTGACAATAAGAGGGGTCCGTTTTATCCTTTAGGTACACTAAAAAAAATGTGTTATTGTCATCTATCTGCCATGTAACTACTGCCATATTCATTTATACTACTCATTTACAATAATTTTAACGAAAACAAGAAATAATTTTATAAAGATAAATTGTGCCGAATAGCAATAATGACATTTTAATATTTAACAACGAATGTGAACACGATTCATGTGTCTCAACGCGGAGAGATAGACTTTGATCCCTATATTTCACTAAGTTTCGTACACTCTAATCTTATGTATTCTATCTTTTACGAAGGGTTAGAGGTATTTCGTTAAAATTTAAACTTCTTGATTAAGCTCTCTGAACTTACGTGTATTAACATAATCCCATACGATTTGAATGTCAAACTTTAAGCTAGAAATTCAAGTAAATTATTATTATAAAAAAATTAAAACACTTGAAACAATAAAAAAATACTAGCTGCGTATTGATTTACAATGGAAGAAATAAAGGCTCTATTTCTCTGTTACTTTACTCACAAATACAAACATATCTAGTAGGCACACACACACACATCTTCACAGACACAACGGGCCTAATTATGTATTTTTTACTAAATTAGATAATACACCTACAAAGTTATAATTTAAATTTAAGTTTAGTTAAAGTGAATAAATAAACAAACACAAACATTTTAGTCGGATTAGTTTTTAATTAGCCCAATTTTTACTGTGCAGACGACTGATTCCTTAATTATTATATAGTACTTATTATTATTATTCAAATCAAGAAAGAATTTATAAATCTGTGATTAATTAACCTTACTTTGTTGATTCATTGTTTTTAGTTCATTGAAGACGTATATGTTTGATCAGGTAAAGGTTGTATTTTTTATAGGATAGGGTGACAAGCGAGCACACAGTCCACCTGATGGTAAGTGATTGCTGTGGCCCATAGACATCCACATCTATTCCCGATTACGAATCAAATTGCAGATGTGTTGTCACCCGTGAGGACTATACCTTGCTTCCAGTAAAAAGGAGTCTCTGGTTCTCTACACTCACCATACGAAACACAGCAGCGTTAGGCAATTACTGTTTTACGCTGGTATTCTGTGAGAGCGTGATCCTTCTCCGGTAGAGCCGACCCATTCGTGCTACAACTATAGGTACTGCTAATATAACTGCACCTACACCAGTGTCTACCACGTATAAAATTACTTATAGATTGATAGATTGATAGCCTGATTTATTGAAGATGGGTCAAATTAAGGGTACACTTCACCTTTGAGAGTGTATGAGTAGATATATGGATGTGATAAAAGCCTAGTATATATGTATATATATATATAGTAATGATAGGTGTGTAAGGATCTTGCCATAATATCTTGCCTTGTCCGCATTTTCTGTCTACCCCTCTGGATGACAGACGTGAGAGTTTGTGTATGTTTATCATTACGTGCATTACCCGTAAGATACCCGTAAGAACTGCAATTGTTGAATAAATTTTTCATAATATTTATGTTTTTATTTCGCTTTTTCGTGTAGTTATTGGTTTCGACATATGCTGACTGCATGTTACTGAGTTAAGTACCAAGGTAAGTAACATTTCATAGTACGCTAATTATATAAATGTATCGAGTAGTCAATGATAATACAGAGTTTAAAATAATTAATTGAAAATACACAGCCAATAGCAATTCTATCAGGCCGAAATACCTCCCATTACCAGGCTCTCGGTTCTCTACATCTACCACTAGTTCGGAAAATACCTCTGTCCCAAGAACGAACAAGAAAACTAGCGAGACTTTGTTTTTTTTTTTATTTCACTTAACAATAATTTAGTTTGTCCAATTTTTAAATAAATTTTAATAGAACGATCATACTGGCCAAGACCTCCCCATTCCCGGGGGCTATTTTCAGTTGTGTACTACTACTACTACTTTGATATTATAATAACCGATTTTGTACAATTTTTCTTTAATAAAACATTTAAACTTGTTTATTGATTTATTTTGTACATTTTCTGGTTTTTGTAAAACCTTATACATTATCCCATAAATGAATTATTAATTCTGTGGAGTCTAGTAACTGGTATTACAAGCTTATGTTTGTTTCTAGTATGAGATTCAGATTAAGAGGCACGAAATTCACTAAACATGCATTCCGAAATTCCATTGAACAATTCCATTTTCTTTAACATTTTTTAAAATTAATTGTTTAAATAGTAAGTAAAAAAATATAACAATTTGAATGTAAATATCACCACAAACCAATGCTATATATTATGAGTTTTCTTAGTCGCAACTTATTTGTGGAATCATTTACCACCGGTATTTTGCTACACTTATACGACTTAGAGACCTTCAAAAGTGAACTTATTCCTTTTTTTAAACCGGCAACTCACCCGTAATTTCCCATATGTTGCAGTTTTTCATGGGCGACGGTCGACACTTAATTCATGCTGTTAGTCGCATACACCGTTGCCTTCTTTTCTATAAAAAAACCCGCATGAAAGTAAACTTTGTAAAGTTTTTCGTCACTTGTAAACTTTTAGGATCGCTCCTATCGTTACATCAGATTTGATACACCACAAAACCTCGTAATAGAACATTGATTTCTAACTAGGATAATTAATTAAAGACTAAGTAAGGCTATTGAAATAAAATTAAAATAAAATCATACGCATTTAAAGAAAGAAATTTGTTGGTAGTTCTTTGGAATCCTATGATTAATAAAATTAAACCCCGATATATATATATATATATATATATATATATATATATATATACTAAAAAATAATATTAAGTTTTTTTTGCGTGGGTTGTTAGAATGGAAAGCAAGTTTAATAATACAATTGGGACGTTAAACATCTTAGTCACACCGGTAATTTAAGTTCATAAAAAGAAGGTATTCTTTTATTTATCAACAACTTAAATAAAATTCTGGGATTGACAGATGATGAGATGATTTGAAGAGAGTGTTTTTCACACCTTTATTGAAAAGAACTTCTCCAATATGTAATAATTATATAGCGTGTACAATCACAAATTGCCAATCGTTGATCCGATATTTATATAGCTAAATCAAGTCCTAAGTAACAAATAATTATTTGATCAAAGTAACTTGCCTGTAAGTGCCTTCGATCAAAATTATATGAAGTTGACGCCACTTCTGTGTTTGTATACTATGTAGTCATGAATTGACGGACCGAATCACACGAGTTTTAACCTTCTGGGGGAAAAATAATATGTTTACTGGTATCCCAACCTATATGAACTCCCACTGGCAACACTATACACCTCATGTCATTGTGAATTTATATT